CTGATTGTAAACAGACACCAAAAGTGCAAAGAAAAGTGGAAAGTGTGTTACTAACTCATTCTCTCTGTTTCACTATTTCAGTTTGCGTTCATTTTCCTTTATTGTGTATAATTTGACTTGTACCAAATAATTCAAATGAGAACCTTTAAATGTGTCCTATAGTGCTTCTAACAACTTTCCTCCATAACTAGGTATACCTTGCTTTTTCCGAACTCTTAAACTGTATGATTTTCAATGGATTGTACTCTCATTTTCTGACCATCCAGTTTGATGCTTCTCAAGTTCAGTTTATGGGAGTACTGCATAGCATCCCTGCATACTGCATAATGTTCAGGCTCTGAATAAAACATAGTTGTTAACCACCTCCATTTGCACATCCAAACTGTTGAATGAGTGATTGAAATAGCACAGAAGAAATAAGCGCTCGATTGACTTCTTGACCTACAGGGATGCAAGAAAATTTAAAGGAACTGCTCAAATAATGAACACTATTTGTCCTATACAATAAATGAGGAAGGTTCCAGATCATATTACTAAAGATTGTACCATAACGTGTCTCTATCAGAGGGAAAGATTTAGATTTCACATCCATAAGTAACCTTAATTGTGTTTCTCTTTGAAGTTCTTCAGTCTTGATCTTAAAACTGTTCTTTGACTGTAAAATTTGCCTGTTAATATAAGACCAATCTTTTAAATTTTGTATATTTTAAGATATAGTGTTCAGGCCTCTAACAAAGAAATAAATAAAATGATCCATTTTCACTCTATCTCGGCAACCTATCAAACAGGCAGGTAGATAATACACTACTTTTTAAAAAAAAAAAGTATATGAAGAAAGATTAGTCAGGGAGATGTATTACTGGTGAGGGAACAAATCTGACCCCAGAGTCTGAGTTTAACCTTTTAAGCATTCCTCCTACTGAAATTTGTGAACACTACCATGGAGAGTTGTTCGCTGTATATTTGTACTTTTCCTGTGTTATATATAGTTTTAATACTGCACAAAATAAAAGTGCTGGACCATGTCTGGTATTTTGTTGTGCTCCTAAACTATTATGAGTTAAGTATGACAGATGCCCTCCTCTTCTAACTACAGAAGTGGGTTTTTTTCCCAGCTCAATCACAGAGCATTTCCATTAAAAGCTGAAGACCCCATCTCTAACCCTGGCAATACCTTCTCTACATGATTAATTATTTTACACATTCTGTAGTCCATTAGGGAAGTGTCTCATGGCCTCAGGACACAGATATCTGGCCTTTATATGCATTATTTTGCCAACTCCTTTTTCTTCTCTGTCCTTTTTCAGTGAAATAGAAAACAGCATATTACTTTGGTTTTTTACTGCATGTTTGTTTCATCTATTTCTAATTAAGATCTTTCATAAAAGTCATTAACTTTCACTTTAAATAATTTATTTTTGTAAAAAATCAAATAACTTATTCAAAGATAAATATCTTACAAAATAATAGATAGTTCCAGAAAAATATGTAAGATCAATGAAGTCTGTATATATTATTAGAGGACAGGATCTTATTAGAGGACAGGATCAAGTATTGGTTTCATATGGAGATCAATAGCAGCATAATGGAGAACAGCACTGTGCTTCCAGTCTGCACTGCTGATTTTCAGTGATCTGTTGTCTACTAGTTGGATAGTTCCAGTGAGAAAAAAAGATGTAACTGAATTTTTTCTGTTGTGGTAATAGTTAACTCTGGCCTGAAAAAATACTTTCTTCCCTTTTTGCATTTAGATACAAAATAATAAGCTTTTAGTTAAGGGAAGTACAGGGCAAATTCTATATTTCCTATACTCTTCAGTATGCTGCCACATACCAGAACTGGAGAAAACAAATATAATCCTGACAACAATAAAAAACCCTACCAAAACTCCTCATACTTTCAAAACAATCCAGATTTCACCCAAAACACTGGTTTGAAGACAGACATGTCACAAAATCTTACTTAACTGGGTTTCTTGCATCAGAGGAGTAAATACCTTTCTTTTCTCCAACATTCTGCAAATTGGACCACTGTTTAAATTAGTTTTGTTTATGAAACCAGAGAGCACTAAAATATATCTTATATATTGATTTATTGGGGTTTTGATTTTATAACCTTGGTATTCTTTGTTCCAACTGCTGTAAAGCACCTCAACCTTCTGAATAATTGCAACAGACAGTGAACACAAAAAATAAAAATTGTTATTCTGATATTGACTTGACCATACCCCAACAAACTTTTAAAGTTAAGCCTAGAATTTTCAGACAATGTAAGATACTTTTTTTTAATCTTTATAGCTAAATTGGACTTGTTAGAGGTCAGGGTTATCAAACCTCAGAGCTCAGGATATTTCCCAGTTGTAGATAGCAAGAGCTGAGGTAAATACATAAGAGGGCTGGATGTGAAGATGTTGGTCTTTCCCCCAGGTATAGCTATGGCAACTATACACCCCATTTTAGGCCTACATCTAGGCATCTAGATTTAGGTGGAATGGACACAGCTTTGACTAAATCCCTTCTAGGAGAGTTGGAGATCCTGTCCACTGGAAAAAACTTGTGGGCCAGAGTTAAAATTCCCCACACAAATTCTTCTCAGTCTTGACCCTACTGAACACCTTCATTTAAATTTCTTGGGCTGTAGTAAGTCAGGATCACATCTGACCCACACGATCATTTAAAAAAATCAACTTCAGTCTCACAACTGCATCTTCTGACATTCTAGATTATTCTCTACATACATATTCCTCAAGTTTTGACTAGTTTGTTTTCAAAGGGAGATTTATCTAGGTTAAGTCTAAGCATCTATTAAGTAGACTTCAACACCTGAGTGAGTCACCTTTGATTTTCCTTAAATTTAGCAAAGAGATAATGAGAAATAAACACTTTTACAATGAGATTCATCTGGCTTACTCCAGAGCTCTATATCAGGATGAGATAAAACACAATCTGTAGGTGACAGCATGTTTTCATTGATTGCTCTGGGAGTTTAACAGCTACTTTAAATGTAGACATAATAGACATCTACATTTGGTCAGTTAAAACACAAAGTAGACAATTCTTTTCTGAATTCTGGATGCATCTACAAAATAACTCTGTCTTGGGATTTACTTGTCCAAAACTTCATTTTTCTGTTTTTATATCTACCAGAGCAAACTGGATACAAAATAATTAGTCCAAAGACAATTCTGACATTCATTCCACCAAATTGGAATGAAAAGCACTGACTTTCCTTATGGAATTTAAGTTCTTTAATAATGATGTGTGGCCCAGCACATTTTTTCTCTAAGCAGTGTAAACTTTTAACATAATATTAAAAGTATCTTAATAGAACATAAAATTAAAACTTTTGCCTTCAAAATCAAACAAGTTGAAATAATTAATTACAGATTGATTCAGAAATATTGTGGTAAACATCTAAAGTAGGACAGATGCATCACACCCTCGGCATGCTGAGTCCTCTCCATGAAGTATAGCTGATAAGTTTCCATTCAGACGTGTGAAACAGAGCCAGATCCCCATGGTTAAGTCTACAGCTCCTGTCCCAGAGCATGCTCTGGAGTCTGATCCTGCCAACTGTCTCTGGACAGGCAGCATGGAAGCCTTTCCCAGCCTGTGCCTGTGCCTTGCCAGTTGGTCAGGCAGGGACTTTGGGCAAGTATTGGTGGCTGATGCTGGGGGCTCAGAGCAGGGAGTATTTGAAGCTCCCATGACAGGGATATGGAGAGAAGCAACAACTGCAGGCCAGTCTGCTTACTCTCACAACTGTCCTTTTTAATTTTCTTTTAAGGGAAATTTCTCTTTGCTTCCTACTCTCTATTCCTTCTTCCTTCCTCTACTCTTTTTATTCCTGCCCTCTCCATCACATTACATCAATGCCACAGAAACCTTCTGAATTGCATGCAAATTGTGACACGGAATTTGCACTTAGCCAAGTAAAAGCAGTAGATGCGATTCAAGTGTCTTTCTTGCTTAGGTAAGTTGTTCAACCCCAGATACAGTGTGTGCTGGGAAGGCAAGCACCACACCAGCCTAAATAAATAAATAAATAAATAAATAAATAAATATATATATATAGATAGATAGATAGATATATTTAAAGGGAAAATGCATTCTTTTTTCTGAAGGCTATGTTTTTACAGTCTGTAGCCATCACTGACTGTAGCATGGGCTGTGCACATGACACACCTCTGAAAACTGAGCCAATACAGTTTTAGTTTCCATTCCGCAACCAGTCATGATGCTAAATACATTCATGACTAGCACAGAGACACTTCTTGCTCTTTATTAGGGCATATTGATATTACATCTGGAGCTGTTCATTAATACATTTTAAAGACATATTTAGTCTTAGTTATAGCAGATGTGGCATTGCAAATGATCTGCCATTCCACCTCAGCTTCTGACTCTCTGAATACCTATGTTACATTTTCATTTTAAAAAGATTTGCACTTTAATTTGATTTTTCAGTTATCTACTAAGAGTTGGGGTTTTTTTTCTTTTTAATTATTTTTCCATTGCAGCCAGGTGTATAAGTGAGTAGTTTATACACATTTCAGAGGGATTTTTTTTTTTTTTTTTTTTACATCATAGACCTATAGAGAATATGTAGCTAATTTAAAATGCTTCACAGATTTACACTGAAAGATGCTCCATAAAAGAATGACACCACAAGTTACATCAAACAAGCAAACATTTGTTATGGGGACAGTAAAATTTACTTTTCACAAAAGGAGCCTACAGTAATAATGCATTCAATTCTATTTCCCAGAATGCTTCTTAAGTATGTTAATAAAGTCTTTATTGTGTCTGCTTATAAAAGTCGCCACCATTTCCCATTAGAAAGTCTCTGTTTATTCATCAAACATTTACTGACAGTGACTGCTGGGAGCAGGCTCAGATTTCCACTCCATTACACGTTTGTGGCATAAAACACATTAATTATAGATATATTACAATATTCAACTCATTGAGGAAAAATTAGATGATCAAGGCTCATTTTCCTTGACAATAAGCAAGTTAATGAAAATACTAATTACCTGATGATGAAGTGGAGCCTTCAGGATTGAACGCTTAGCATCTGTAGAAGAGCTCTGTGAATCTAGCACAGAATATTAAAGCCAGAAGCACTGGAAGTCTAAAGGGTGGTTCATGAGGTCATCATGTGCCCTTTAAACACAGGACAGAGAATAGTTAGTTCATAACATAAACTTTTATGTGCAGCTTTGATGGATGTCATGAAAAGCCACATAAACATAGTGTTAATTTAAAACTAATTATTTTCGTAAATTGATGTTTTTCAAATTAGTAGATACCTTGTCTAGCTCCACTTTTTTACTGAAACTATGGAACCTAGCAATGGCAGATTTCAGTATACAGAAGCATGAGAATGTTGGAATGAAGAGAATAAAGCACAGTCACAAGACTTTCTTAATTTTCTCTGATTTCAGAAAGAGTCTTTATCAAAACTTATATCATATGAAATGAAAACATTTCAAATTCAGGAAATTTCTCCTTACGTGTTTATTACAACCACTTTTGCTTTTGCATTTGTATAATTCTTTTTAGCATTTCCAATTTAGACTCTACATTGGAATCACTAAACCAATTATGTCATCCTTTGGTTTCTTTTCAAGATCAGTTTTACTTCTCATCTGCTTTTGACATTTTACCAATACATCTGTGTAACTGCTGGGAGTAGGAGGTTCTCTTTATTCTGGACTGTTCATGCTGTCTGCTAAAGATAGAAGTATATTTTATGTTTATTCAGTTTAGTTCATTTTTCCCCCAACTATTGTGCTTGATAACAACTTGTCAGCAATTACATATTGCTGAATAAGATTTTCCTGAACTGCTAAATAGTAAATAATAGCAAAATATTTCCAATGTATTGTTTCTTTTCTGAAGATAGTAATAATCATGTTTAATTAACAAATTTGCTTCTTAAATTTGCTGTAGGCATCAGCACTGTACCACATGATAAAATATTATTATCTTCTAACTGCCCCAGAACCCTGTTGTAAGTCATGGAAGAAAATATCTTCTGTGTGATTTATTCTACTGCCACTTATTTTTTTAATATATTGTTTTTCTTGTGAGAACAAAACTATGTAAAGCTAACAACCTCATTCCTAGGAGCAGGATAGTAGAGAGTTTGCAAATATAACCATATTGGTAAAGATCTTTACACTGTATGAGAAGGCTTTCGTGGAAATACCATGCAGGTCTTGACAACTTTTTGTCTTCAAGCACCTTACATTTGGGCTTGTAACATGCAGTTTATGTCCTTGGTGTAGACCATTACTCCTCCTTTGTAGCTAGACATTGTCTGCAGCACCATACTTTGTAATATGTTTCTGTATCACTTCCTCAGAAATCATTGGCAATGGACTTATACTGAAATGGATAGAATGAGCTTTGAGCTTTGAACTTGGTAAAACACAGACCTGCAACTCAGTCTTCTCTTGTTATTGATGTTTAGCATGTCTCTATATGTGAAATTGTATTGAAGCTTCTATTGCAAATCCCTGAGGTTTTGCTGAAATGGGACTCAAACAGCATGAGCACTACAATCACTTTGAAAATACCCAAGAAAAAAAACAGCCACAAATGTTTCCACTGTCTAGGCAGCAGAAGCTTTCCTCAGAATTTATATCTAACATTAGTTATGTTTCTTTATTCTTCTGACTGGATAAACCTACTTTATACACTAAAGAGGGCCAAGGATATTAGACTGAAAAGTTGAAAATTGTACTTCTTGCATTAGTGCTCTCCACCATCTTCTTTTACACAGACAACAACCATATCCCATAGGTCGTCTACACTACTTTTTTTCAGCACTTCATGGTTTTACAATTCCACAAGTCTATTAGGAACATTTAAAATGGCTGCTTTACCCAATATACTCACCTATTTTACCTCTGTCAGTTGCCAGCACTGACTGCTCAGGAGAACAGAAACAGAGGTGCACTTCCATGAGTTTCCCTTCTCAGCTTTCAGAAGTCTACAGTGTGAATGTTGTTCATCATCTGACACTTCTCCACACATTTTATATTTAATTTACTATAACTTAGATATGCAACTAAAATGGAAACTAAGCCTATCACCTAACCTATTTTTGCAGTCTAAAATTTATGACCCTCAGATTATTCAAAATAGTTTCATAACAATCTTACTGCTCATCAGGAAGAAACAGGTACCTAAAGACTTGCATATGAACACCAGGCCACTTAAGTCATTGAGTGAGAAATGAGTGAGAAATGCCATGAAGAAGGAAGTAACTTCAAGCTTCTATATTAAGTGCATATATTCACACTAGAAGGGAAACACACATTCATATGTCATTTATAATCCTGAAGCCAACTCCGAGTATAGGTTTCTAGTTAGAGTTAGGTTTTCATTCTGAAGGAAACAGTAGAGATGTTAAACTCTTTTTAGAGTGTATAAGGTAATGCTTACTTGGTTAAGATATAAGGATTACAGGCCTTTCCCATAGGATTTAAACCCTGTATACATATGAGGAAAGGTATTGGCTAGATAATAGAGGCAAAACACATAGAGGAATATATGAAACTTATTGGAGTTCAGGCATGAGTTAGATGTGCTGTACAGTGTTATCAAGACTTGAGTATTTCAACCCACCTCCTCTGCAAGAATGTAGACAACATATGCTACACATATATTACTCCTGGAAATCATCCTGTCCTTTAGGCTATTTTTTCAAGGGCATGTAGTGATAGGACAAGGAGTAATGGCTTTAAACTGAAAGAGGATAGATTTAGATTAAATATAAGGACATTCTTCACTGTGAGGTTGTCGAGGCACTCGAACAAGTTACCCAGAGAAGTTGTGGCTGCCCCCTCCCTGGCAGTGTTCAAGGCCAGGTTGGACGGGGCTTTGAGCAACCTGATCTAGTGGAAGGTGTCCCAGCCCATGGCAGGAGGGTTGGAACTACATGATCTTTAAGTTCCATTCCAACTCAAATCATTCTATGGTTGTATGTTTATATGTGGCACAGAAAGGCTTGCATCCATTGTGCTAAGGAACAACCCCCTTAAAGCCAACTGGCCATTTTCACAGTGCACGACATTTGGTCCTGCAGCTGTCTGCTCTCCATGCACTGTCCTTGTGACCCGGGAACATAATAACTATGTTTTTGGTTTTTTTCAGCTCAGTGTATCTAAAACAGTATGTCTTAGTCCAGCAAGGTGGTGTTTTGATAACATGATGTGGAAGTATCTGTCATATACTTCAGATAGGGCTTGAGTTGCCTGAGGATGCAAGGCCAATTGCACTAGTTTTGGAGGACCATGTACAACAGAGGGAATCAAATGTGTATAATCTAATCTATATTGTAAACCAAGATGAACTATCTCCAGAATTACTTTTAGGATTTGTTTCAACATGGACTAATTGGTCACTCTAAAAGAGATGTCAGGACTAAACAGGGATGGTATTCAGTTATTCAAAAGCATAGAAAGTATTTCAAAACCACCAAGATCACTCCTGGTATCTTCTTATTCTGCTTTGACCTGTTCTCACTTTGTTTTCATGTCCTTCTGCCACAGATCAAAGAGTGCCTCTTCAACACCTCTGTGCTCTGAAAACAGTGCATATTGGAATTGAGAGTAGGCAAGCATCTAGTCCCTTAGCTCTTTTACTCAGGGCCATGCTTACATACACTATTGCTTTTTACATTCATTCAGATTTAATTCATTTTTTTAATATTGCAATTCTTTGTAAATATTGCTGTATCTTTATTCATATCTTTCTGTTTCACAGAGGAACACATTTCCTGAGAAGAATCACATATGAAGAAAAAAATTGTCTGTCTTCACAAAGCAATATCAAATTGCATTATATGCAATAGCAAGTTTTGAGATAGAGAATGCAGATAGATACATTTTACACCCAAGCATGCACTGGGTTTGTGATGTAAAAAGCCGTCATACCCGTGTCATAATCTAAACCTTGGAACTGGTGCTCCCATAGAAAGTAGTGTGGCAGTAATCATGGGGACAATATCTAGAGTTTCATCTTTGTAAAAAATCCATCCTTGTTATGCTAATATGGATCTTCCTGAGCAACATAAAAGCTTCAGCAGAATTAAACAGAAAAAAATAGATTTCTACTGTGTGAAATTGCATTAAATATTTTCAAAGGAAGTTTTGCAAAACAGTTCCCACTAGTTTCATAAACTTTATAAAATTGGCCATACGTTAATTGGCTTAATAGTCAGAATTCTCATTCACAGCAACAGGATTTTTTGTAATTCCCTGTCACTGGGTCAAGTCAATTTCAGGAGCAAAAAGTAACCACAATTGAAAAACAGCCTTCAAAATAATGAGTAAAGTAAGACACCTATTTTTGTGTGTGTGTACATTAAACAAAGTAGCATAGATTTTAGAAACAGTTTGTCTCAGGGATACCATAGGATATCATAAAACATTATTGCATTTCTGACAAAAAAATGGGTACAAAAGGTAGCTTCAAGCAACATGAAGAGGGAACCTGCAACCACACATTGTCATTATGGAATACCATTTTCTGCACAAGCAGATAAAACTCTTCTAAACGTTGGTTATGTTTCAACATCAGCCAGTATTACAATTTGTGGTTTTATAAGCCCCAAATTAGTGCAAAATTCAGTCTTTGCAATTTAAGTGTGAAACCCAGTTCACCTTTCCAAGGCATATTTATTTATCATGTTTCTCACATTTCACCAGTCTTAGCTGACTCACTCAGTTCCTGCCAGTGAAGAGATTGAGGCAAGTGTCCGGGGCCATGTTCAGACTTACCTGTGGCAGTTCTCCACAGTTCCTGTTCAACCAGTGGTCACAGGTTTCCTTGACAAACCTTGACATTGAGGAGATGCCACACCACATGGGCACTCCGCCAGACTCAGGACCTCAGAAACGCTCTCTGATCTGGAAACGTGAGCACAATGCAAGTTACACTAGACACCTCAGCATGGGGGTCAGTTGCCTGAACATACACATCTGGGCCCATTTGAAATAGCCCAGACTTTCCCATCTACTCTCAAACTGTGGTTGCGGGAAGTCACAAGTTTTCTTCAGGTTCTATATCATATCTGGCAAACCTATGGAGTTGTCCCACATGTCCTATAATGTCTCTGATGGCACTAAAGACTTCTGCTTTAAAAACTCTCCTAAATTGCCGGCTAGCATGTAAAACCAGACAAGAAGAACCCCAGCCATGGTGTACAGTCTCTCCACAGCTCATTGTGCATTTTTAGCCAGACTTTCAGGTGTATTTAGTTGTTTACATGGGGGGATGGGATACCAGCATGAATTTTCTAAACAGCTAAGCAGCTTAGGTGCCTATTTTCCATTGAGATCAAGAGAACTTGGGCACACAACACATTAAGTAGTTTTAAATATTTTATCTGCATCTCTCAATAATTTATATTTTTAGAAATCCTACCTCTTGCAGTAAAAATGTACTGGTATTAACAGCTTAAGCCTATTCACATTTTCCAGTAAAAGACAAACTAATAGCAGAAATCATTCAGGTTTCTCTGTTTACACACCAGCTTCAGTTCCTTTTATATTTTACTACATCCCAAAAAAACCTGAATAAAAATCCATTTCATTTTATAGAGTTCAACAGCCTGTACGAATTTCAACAAAGAGTGGAAACAAAGTCCAGTTGTGCAAGTTCTTTGAAAGACCACTCAGCCATCAATGGTCTCATTCCTGAATGTTGATGTATCATCCTGGATATGACTCTCTTTCCTGTGAGCATTAGGTAATACAGCAGTGATTACTCTTCTTTCATACTTTTAGGAAAGGGGTCTGATTCCTTAGAAGACATTTTTATATTGCTTACATTTCCTTTGCATATTTTTTAGATTTTAATTGCATCTCTCTATTCCATATAAATGAAAATTCACTATGAAGACAGTAGAATACTACTGAAGAAAAGTATTATTCCTTGAAGCGAGGAAGCAAGGAATCAGGTCCTAGTACAGATTTTCAAGTGAGTGATAGAAATGTTCAGCTTGGGTACTAATGCTACTCATTGTCACATGAGTGTTGTGTCACGTTCTCTTGATCGCTTCCAATTGTAGGCATGGAACATCTTTCTCCAATCCTTGCTGATAAATTTACCACATTCATAACAAATCTGCAATCAGAATATTCTAATGATCCCAAATCCTGAATCTTACCAATAGAAAACCAGGGATGTTACATGACACCCACTACATCACCATTCTCCATGTAGTTTGTCTTGAATCAGAAACTTGGAGTAAAAACTTACATGACTCCTCAGTAATAGTGCCACCAAAAAACAAGTCACCCCTTCTTCACAGATTTTTAAAAATCATATCTGTGATTCATATAGGAGACATTTTCCCACTGCTAACATATTAGATATTTCTGAGAGGTGCATTTTTCTTCACTAGTTTAATCTCTAACACTTTCAAAGTCTTCAGAGGCTTAGTGCCTAGCTCTACATATTTGTTAATGTGATTTTTCTGACCTGAACATTTTTTCTGTAATTTTATCCCTCCAGCACGGCATGTTACATTTAAGTTAAAAAGACTGTGGGGATACAAAGAAGGAATTATTGTGCTAGTCTGAAGTTAAATTCTAACGTTTACAAAGAACAGGTTGATGTCCTAATTCATAAAGATGTTAATTCTGACAGCTAAAATATAATACTTGCAAAAGAATGAAAGGAAAGAAGGAAAATAGTCTTCTTTACCTCTAAAATGCTTTCTTCTTCATATGTAGCAGGTGCCCCAAGACACGTTATACTGCCTGCTTTAATTTGTCTTTAATATCAGATGTGCCTTATTGATTTCTTCTGTGTATGTTTTCATTCTGAATAATTCAGAGGCACAATTTTTTTCCATTATGGTCAATAGCCAGAGAAAATTCTGAAGATAATCAATTGAGCTCTGCCTGACGATTACTAGTGTTGATATCCCCCAAAGTGAGGGAGTCGGAAAGGCCAGGGATAATATGACACAACAGTCAATCAGTGCAATCAGTGGAAGTATCAACACTGGCTGTATGATGAGAAGCAGATCCATGCCAAGGATCCATAACAGCTCCTAAAAGTTCAAATGCTTGATTTCTTGTCATATGCTACAACAGATGGACTATGTAAGATTAGATTCAAAAAGCCTTCCTGTCTTCTCTTTCCCCCTTTCTCAAAGTGATAGGATCATAAACCAGCTGTGTGGTATGATTTACATAACACTCAATTTCTTAATTTTATTTTTTACTGTTTTAAACCCTCCTAATAAGAAATAGCTTTAAAGAAATGAACAGGATGAACACTCGGCCAGCAAACACTCACAAAAGCAGATAGAAAGATTATTTTGATTTAGATCTAATGCTGATGTATAATGTCTTTAGCTAGAGACCACATATGACCTAGTAACTTCCATCACAGCCTTCCACATAATCAAGGTATCTTGTATTCAGTTTATAGTGAAAAAAATAAAAAAGAAAAAGTATCTTTTTCAGTGTAGAAATCTAATGAAGTTGCCAATAGTAGCAGACAAATGGTAGTCCTAAGCAGTGTGTAGCTAGTGACTTGAAGTTTGATGCAACTTCAGCTGAAGTCAAGGCAAGAATCTGATTGATAGTAAACACATAGACTTTTGCGCGCGCCGCGTGTGTGTGTGTGTGCTCAGCTGGATAGCTCCAGTGAGTCTATAGCCATACTACAGCCATGCAGGCCAATGAACAGTAGCTATGTAACTCACCACACCTATTACCTAAATTCATAAAATGGCAATATATGAAATTAAACACTAAATAGCTTATAACTAAATAGTTTAATGACAATCCAATGTGTACAAAGTAAAGGAGTAAATTGGCAGTACTAGCTCAGTTTCCCATGGATAACTTATTTATAAATCTCTCTGTGATTTATTATTAATCTCCTTATGCAATAATCACTCATGCATATAAACATGCCTAAGCTTAAAAATTATACTCTGATTCATGTTTCTTTACAAAAGAAATGTTTTGACTATGAAACTCCAGTCATCACTATTTTAAAGGTTTTGAAAATGTTAAAGTGAAAAATTATGGAAAATATAATTTTTGATAGTTTCGGGTTTCTTTAATGTTTCTTTATTCATCAAGATAATATGGAAGAAATTAGATGAGACTCTTACTCTCAGTTAAACATATTACAGTTAATCTGAGGCAATTTTTTTAAACTAGAATGAGTTCAATTAAAATTGACATAATTTACTTTTAAATCAGAGACCTGGTCCATGAAAAAAAAAAAAAATTTTTTAAAATTTATCTCAAAAGTGAAGGTACTTCCTTATAAATATTAATATGCTTTCTATGTTACATACATATGTGATATGCTCCAATTATTTTCATAAAAGTAGGTCACTATGCATTTTACTCCTGTTTTCCATATTCCCATGATCATAAAACAAGTTATGATTCTTGTTCCACAGTCTTGGAAAACACAACCATAAAAGAAGTTGATGTCCAGAACCAAAACGGTAGACATAGTTGGGTTGAGGTTTTTATGCGGTAAATGATCCACTCCACTGCAACAGTATATGAAGCAATAGCCATATGCTGCAATTGATTAACATGGGAATGAAGCTGAGGTACTTAATCAATTGCAAAAGCCACTTATTATGAGTCTATTATAAAGCAATAGGGATTTTTCACTGTTATTCAATGAGCTAAAATATGAAACAGAAGGAAATAAAAAAAGATAATGTTATGATTTTCTATAGGAAAAGGCTAAGTGCCTTTTATAGCATCCTTTCCAGCAAGGGGGAAGCAAGTGTGTTTCAGAAACTCTATGACTTAAACTAACTAAAACCAGGTCAGTCCCATTCTCTGGCCTTAGCATGGCACAGCTTGCATCCAGACATCCAGCTGGGCTGCTATTCTGGTTTCTGGGGAAAGGCTCCCACTCATGGCCCCAAACCATGCCCAGGCACTGTCAAAGAAGGGCAGGTCAGCACTGGCCAAGTCCACACCAAGTCCATGACTGTGACTGATAGGACTAACCAAGTCTGAGCCTTGGCCCTGTTGGGTAAACCCAAGGATAAACGTAGCCAATGTGAATTAAAAGGTATCTCTGGCACATACAGAAACTGGAGAGGAAAGAAAATAAATTAAAAGATGCTGAACATAAATGTTTTTAAGACGTGTTTCTTATCAGGACAAAACACATGTTTTAAGACTCTGAGGCCAGGATTTCTTGCTTCTTATTAAAAGTTAGACATTTTGTTTAAGCTGTCTCTGCCACAAGTGAAGAACGATGAGTACTTGTAGAGAGCAATTAATCTCCTCTATCTAGACATCTTAGACTGGGATGAATTGCCTTCTGATGGCAAAAATGCCTGTTTGTCTCCTGTTATGCACAGTCTCTGTGTGCTTTTGTACTGATATCCCTAAAAGTAGGCAAATGCCCAAGATCAGTACAGTTCTCATTTCTTCTTCTCTACTGAAATCTTTTATGGCATTCAGCAATGTTTATCTCCCTCCCTGAAATAGTATGGCTGGATAAAAGTATACTTCAAGCTTTCCTGGAGGACCATCAAGTACGCTCTTTTCAAACCACCCCCTCCCTTTTCTCTCCACAGTATTCCTGTTTAGCTGCTGGTCTAGATCTGCAGCAGGCAGAGAGCCAAACGTTCCCCTTCCTGCCCCACACAAGAGCTAGAACAATTTCAAGAAAATTGTGTTGTAGTGACAGTGATACTTCCAGCCTTGCAAAGCAAAGGCAGAAGTAAAACAAACCAATACAATATCTGAACCATAAGTTGTGGAAACAATTGAAACACTGGTGTGCAGCTGTCAAGCCTTTCATGTGCAAAAGTAATACACCAAGAGAAACTACTGTTTGACTTAATTTTCCTTGCAGCATCATTTAAGATTCTTAATTCTTCCTTTGACCCCAATCAGTT